TGCATCAGGTTCTGTGCAGACGCTAAGAGCCTGGAGCCTATTTCAGATTCTGTGCCTTCCTCTCTCTCTGCCCCTCCCCTACTTATGCTCTGTCTCTCTCTGTTTCAAAAATAAATAAACTATAAAAAATTTAAAAAAAAAAGATGATCCTATTTCCTTAAAAAATGAAATCCAAATACACTAAAAACCATTAAGCAAGGAATGTGTTTTCAAGAGAAATAAATGAATAGACGTGATAGTGAATAAACAGATTATGTATTGTTTTTGGAAATGGTTAAATACTTAAAAGTAATATAGAAAAGCAGGTTCATTAAATCTTTTCTTTATATGATAGCAGTATGGCCTAGGTGAAAAGATAGGTCTTGCACTATGTTATGGCTTTTTTTTTTTTCCTGGAGAAGAAAAGTCCCTTATGTGTTTATAAACTCTGAAATAACAGAAAAATTGTTCATTCCCAAAGGTCCCTGTACCACATTCCTTATAAAACCCAAAGGATTGACTATTTCTTCCTCTTATTCTTTCTTTCTCATTGCCTTTGGAAAACTGCAACTACCCTGTAATTTCCTTCCTTTAAGTGTGACTAGGAGAACCTCCTTTTAGAAGGTTGATAAGTAATTTTAAGGGATAATAAGCAATAAGAAATATTACTAACAACTGTTAAGAAAAGGAGTATGTGCCATTTCTTCTAAGCACATTAAATATGTTTTTAATGTTAGCACGATTTGAGGAACCATTAAACACATACTTCCTACTTATGCACTGCCTAGATAATCAGATGAAGTATGAAAAATCAGTGTATTCTATTCACATCTAAATCAATTTCTATTTAAGAATTAAACATTTTTCTGGAAAAACAAGGTCAGGGTCATTCTCCTATGTAGGAAATAACAAACCCAGAAGCATAATATTGGTATTTTTCTCTGGAGACATGCTTCTTCAATAACCTGTTTTCCCTTCAGATTTATCAAATAAATGTATATTGTTGCTTTGTATTTTCTGTTATTTCACCAGTTAGCTTCAATGCTCAGGTGTCTACTTAATCAAAGGTACAATAGCACATTTATTTTACCACATGCTTTATATTGGCACCATAAAGAATCAATCTCCTGAGTGCTCATATAAAAGTAAAAACACTCTATACACCAAGCATTTCCCCATCTATTTTTTAAAAACAACTAGTGTCTAAAATCATCCTAATTACTAAATATTGCGATTGGAACAAATTAATTTTACTCTTCACCTCTTTTAGATATTTTGCAGGACACAGATGAATGAAGGTTTCCCCATTCTTCCTCTATATTCACTAAAAAAAAAAAAAAACTATCCAACACTAAAAGATGAAATTTTTTAAAATAAATTCACTGAAAACAAAGTTCAGGTTTACTCTTCTTTATATTGAACCATCCAAGTGTTCCTACTGAACATGAGAGTTCCATTTTTCAAGAATGCAATTTTTATGAAAACTAAAACATACCCTTGAAAATATTAGGAAATGATTAATGACTCAAAATATCACTTTTCCTCTCATACTGATGCAACTATCTTTAATTTCTAAAACAAGAATATTAATATACTTCTATTTACATAAATTTTCAGTGTGCTGGGCAGTTAAAATTTCTGGGTGAAGTTTTCTAAACTTAAGTTTAACTGTATTTTCAAAAATAAAGTTATTTTCCTTCAATAATAGCTTGCCTTAAAATAAGACTACCAAACTTAAAGCTTAAGCCATTGTGAGCGGCACTGGGAGGGAAGCAACCACCTAACTTGTTACAGTACACTTTGCCTATCTAACAGGCATTCACTAAAAGGGGGCATCCACTGAATACTATTAAACAAAATGTAAATAAATCCAGCTACATACAACCCTTTCCCCAACTTACACATGAAAACAAAAAGAAGCACTTAAATATCTAACCAGGACTAAAATTCCTTCAGCTCAGTGGAATGAATCCAGTCACATTTAAATGAAATACAAAGTACTAGGTTTTCTCTAACTCATGTGCCTTAAAATACAATTCTTCCACCACAAAGAACAAAAGAAATGGAAATAAATCTAAGATCTAAATTTAGTTTTAAATCCTAAGTATTAAGCTTTTTAAAGATGACTAGCAACGAAGACTCCTGCTACAGTGAATCAAATACTCCAGTACCTAAGTATAAAGCCAGTTTCCATAAGGAAAGCAGAAGGAGCACCCTAAGAGCAATTCTACAAAACAGCTAACTTTTAGGTCCCTCCACTCAACAGGTACATGAAAAAACATCCAAATTAATATTTTTCCATAATCTATACGTTCTGTACCCCAAGTTTAAAAAAGAGGTATTTATGATATTACAGAAGTACTCACCTAACTCACCAATGACTTCATATAGCAAATAATGGAGACAAAAATAGGGGAGGCTGACTGGTTAAAAAAAAGAATTCCCTATTCCTCAATCTGTTTGGGGGTGTCTGAGCCCATGAAAATGGCAATTCATACAGAAGAAATGACTTATCAATCATTTAGGGAGGCTCTCACTCATAGTAGACTTTAAACTCCAAATACTATCACTTCTTGAACTCCTGGGGGTAAGGAATAACGAATTCTTCCGAGGGTAAGGGGGGAAAAGTATTGAAAAAAAATGTTTGAAGGTTTAAATCAGAAGCAAAAATTTAAACATCCAGCGGCATAACCCTAAGTTTCAATGAATCATAACAGTGGTTATTTGGCACGATTTGAGGCCCAAAATATAAAACAATTACCACCGAGGAAAGGGGGCTTTGGTAACTCGTTTCCTGGAAAAAGGAGGGGGGGGGGAATCTCCCATAAAGGGGAAGAAAAGAGAGAAAGAAGACAATAATCGATAGCCTTGTTAGGAAAGGAGTGTAGAAGGGGATGCCTGGAAAGTGAAGAGGGGGGAAAGGTTGAAAGCAACTCTTCTGAAATGTAGAGAAAAAGAGGTTCTACCTTCGGGAAGAATGGAACTGTTCCGGAGATTCGGGGGGACTCCCCCAGCCTAAAGGGCCGGATCGCGAAAGGCTACGTTTATTTCTCCACGCTCATCTTAGCACCATGAGTAAAATGAGAATTAAAAGCCATTCTGCCTTACGTTTGCCCCATCAAGACGGACTGGAGGTCAGTAGCAAACGGGTGGGGGTGACACGGAAGGGCGCAACAGCATCTCGGTGAAGGAGGGAAGAAACTTCGCAAGAAGAGGAAGCAGCAGCTCCTCTCTCGGCCCCTAGCACCGGCCGGCGAAGTTGCGCCACCGGCACCCCTGCCTGGCGGGCGACCACTCGCCCTCGCCCCTCTCCACACGCACTACTACGCAGCACTCGACCCTTCAAACTGCCCCCGAAGTCCAACTAACGCCTCCGCTTCCTCCTACCCCCTGACCCATCCCAACTAAGTTCCAAGGAAAGCTCCCGCCCAGACCGCGGCCTGTTCCGGACAACAGGTGGGCAGTGGCGCCAGCAGGGCTGGGCCTCTCCTAGCCAGGCCCACTCCACTCCTCCCCGGCCAGGGCCCGGGGGCGCCCGGCTCCGGGACGGGGAGGGGGAGCTCGCTCCCTTACCTCCGCCATATTTGCCGTACTGACGGGTCACATCTCCGCGGCGGCCGCAGCTGGGTCACGGCCAGAACCCGGATGTGAGACTCGGCAACGGGACTCCAGCAGCCGCCGCCGCCGTCTCTGCCGCTCCCGCCGCCGCTGCCTCGGCGGGAACGCGCAGGAGCCGCCCGAGCGCGCCCACCACACCCCACTCCGCCCCCTCGCGGCGCCCCGGCCGAGCTGGACTGGAGGGAAAAGACCCGCGCGCGCGCAAGAGCAGCGGCGCGCGCGCGCGCGGCCCCGCGGCAGCCTTCCCCGGGAGGAGAGCGAGGGGGCGGAGTCAAGGTGGGTGTGGGGGGTAGGTGGGCTTCTCCGCGCGGGGCGCCTCGCCTGCCCTAGCGGATCTGCGACTCGAGCTGAAGGAGAGGGCTCTAAGGGACCAGAGAGGTCACGGAAAGTGCCCAAAAACCGCGTCCAGCATTCACACCGCAGGGGAAAAGATACGTTGTACTTTACATGTAGGCTTTTTTCGAAGAGCATTTGCTGAAAACGGATGTTGCTGTGATGCAACAACGGCAAAGGCGCAAAGTAGTGCGCTTTGAAAGCGGTTGTCTCTAGGCAAGTATTTCTCTCTCGGTCGATTCCCGACAGGAAATGTAAAATCCCACATCCACAAACCTTAGAGGTCAGAGATTAAGGGACTGTGGATAGGTAGACTGCCATCCTCACATCTCTGTTGCTTTACCTCACACGCTTCCTGAGATGCCAGGAGCATTATAATTGTGCAGTGTTTGAATTTTGCACTAGAGGAAATTTCAAAATGCGAAATACAGAAAAGCTGCTCTTTGATAGATATAATCTCTGACTTGACTGCAGAGAGGGAGAACCTGCTTATTTGCAATGCCTGAAATGCCTACAATTTGAAAGTTTCTTTTAAAATACTGGCCTACACCTGCCAATTGGCCTTGAAACAATTCTAATGAGTGCAGGGCCAATGACTGCGAAATAACAAACATGTTTCACTTCCATTACTAAGGCACATACCGGCTAATACAAAGGTGGTATTGAAACATGCAGTAACATATTTTACTAAACCCGGAGTTTAAATCTTAATTTCAAAAAGACCATTTACCCCCCAAATGTTCAAGGGTTTTTCTTAATGCAATTTCAAAAAAAATGATTACCCAAATCAACCAGTTAAATATAAAAAGTCATTCCAAATATTGTGATGCCAGCACTATAATATACTGCATAAATGTGCACATACACAATTTTTCTTTCATACTCCACTTACAATGCAACGTGGCTGTTTTCTTAAATTTGTATTCCCTTAACATTCTAGAATCTATTAAGCAGTTTCCTTTTTACAAAGATTCAACATTAACTTGAAATTCTTATGTCCAATAATAATTTGTGCATGAATAATTTGTGCATTTATAGGTATATGAAGCTGCTAAGTGAAAGGACATTACCTGGTAATTTGACAGGAAAAGAGTCCACAGACAGTCTGTAAACCAATTAAACATAAACATCTGATGCACATTTTCTACTGAAAGAAAAGCAAGGGAAAGAAGAGAAAGGAAAACTTTTAAGGTTCCCAAATCTACAAACAATTTTTACCATTAACTGTACTGTACAGTATTTTCATTTTATTTTTTTAGAATACTTATATAAAAGTGTTCTTCAGGATTCTTTGGGGGGAATAAATATTTTAGCACAGGTATATAGAATTACCCTACTGAATTACCTTAGTCCTCTGGACTCAAAAGCCATTTTTTGAAGAGTCCGTTTGTGTTTATGTAGTTTTCACGTTTGTGTTTATATAGTTTTCACGAGAGATGCTTGATGGGGAAACAGCTGAAGGCAAAGAACAATTGATGTGCATACACCTAAGGTGGGTAAAGACAGAATAAGGTGCCTAGAGGTTGAAACTCAGGCTTTACACTACCATGGGGATAAAGGAGTATTTTCCATTTAAATACCAAAGTTAATAGATGAAATTTAGCTGGTTCACAAAAAGAAAAATTTTAAAAAGTATTGTCAAAATGCAAGGTACAGGAACAACTTGCCTGCTTAAGTCCATTTAGTCTTTGATTCTTAAGTTGAACCTCAACAAAAAAATCCCAATTGTGATTAAAAAGCTGGGGATCATGGTCCCTTACACTACTGAATAAACTCTGAAATTGTCAAGAAAACCCCACTGGGACATATTTGAATGGATAGCCCCTGTTGTTGATAAATGACTTTTAAGTTTATTAATATTGTGTATCAGTTTTACTAATTATAAATGGCATTATCGTTTAGGGGGGATATTCCCTCTACCTATTTCTCCTTCCCTTTTTAAAAAATGTGAGTTCAGTGATTTTTTTTTTTAGGTTCAGATATTCTAAAAATAAAGAGAAATAGCTCCAACACTAAGTCATTTCTAACACAGTACTACTGAATTCAGCATTATTTTACTCCCATGTTATTCTTCTATCTTTCAACATTTTCGGAACCATCTTGAGGAGCAGTCTTTCTCAAAAACTCTTGCTTACCTCTTCAGTATCAAATATGCAAAAATTAACTTTTCAATTCAATTCAAGTCAATTTCTACCCTGTTCAGGTAGGAATCTCTCATTAGGTTTCCCTATGACCAGGCTTTTCTGCCTATGCTAAAACACCTCCAATGACTGATGAAGAGACTGCTCTTTTCAGAAAAAGCTCTATGTTTGGAACATTCTTCTTTTTATTAAACCAGAATCTATCCCCTAGTTACTTCCATCCATTCCCCTGACTTTTTCAGAACTTTGCGTTAATTCAACAAATGTTTTCTTTGTGTTTAAGTGCAAACAATCAATATTTATATTTGGGATAACAAAATATAAGTCTTTAATGCCTTCTGATACTAGAAAAGCTAAAAACAAGACATGGCAAGAGTTAATATGAGAAAATTCACCAATACCTATGAACTGTTAAAATCATTACAGTTTGTTTTGAAGTATGTATTAACGTGATATCCAAAATGATAGTTCTGTTAAATTATGTAGTAAAATGTTTAAAGTTTAAACTAAAAAGTGTGGTTAATTCCAATTTTATGTGAGGTTTGTGGCTAATGTCCTAAAACAAAAAAAAATCTCTATACAAAGCCTGAATAAATGCCTCTTTAGCTCCCATTCCCCACCTAAAGGCTTCCTTATTTTCAGGCAAACTAACATGAACTTTCACCACATTGAAGCTTCTCAAAACTGTTTTTATATTGGGAAATGATTTTTAAGCAATTTACTAAATACTCCCAATAAAAAGTTATTAAACATTTTTTATAGAGGGTATAATACACATACATACATACATACACACACACACACACACACACACACACACACACACACACGAACCCTTCAGTTACTATTCTCCTTTAACAAAAGCATTTTAAGGTCACAATTTTACTTCAACCAGTACCTTAAAGTAACCAATAAATAAACATCTCTGGCAATTTACATATACCTAAGAAATATAATCTTTTATTCAGTACCAATACCTGATGCAAATGTAAGTACTATATGCCTACACTACATAAAATGTTATGCAACTCCGCTACCTCTCAAAATGCTCCAAGAAAATATCTGTAACAATTTAATCTAGGGCTGTTTGAATGAAACATGAATGCAGTGCATTCAAAACCCTAACAACAAATTCTCTACCGAACAATTTTCAGAGTCCATGAGTCCCTTTTGAGATTATGTGGTAAACTATTTACTAAAATTTTTATGTAAAAGTGACAACCTACATATTATGTGAAGGTAAAAATTTATGGATTGCTACTAATTTGGTTGAAAATACCTAAATATCAAAAAACTTAAAAATGACATTTTAGATGAATTTAGAGTTTACCTTTAGTTGGCAGAATGCAAGTTACAAAGCAGTAATGCATTACATTCGGAAACCCCACAGCTATGCAAAAATCAGCATCATCTTTTTGTTAGTTTGGTTTTTATTATTAAACCCATCCCCAAACACTTACATAGCCTTTTGGTTCTTCAAAGGACAGACTTGGTTTTTTTCATAGTTTTTACAGAAAGAGTTTTATCGAGCGGCCCCATTTTATCTGATTATCACAAACTTTTTTTTTTTTTTTTTTTTACAGTCCTAATATTGTTGACATTTTTATCTCACCCAAACTCTGGAAATTATTGGCCCATCATCAGTTCTCAAATACTGGAATATACAGGAAGAGTAATGTATTATTTATATTACTTGAGGGAGTTTGGATTTTCCCTCCCTTAATCTCCAAGTGTGCCCCTGCCTACCAGCATCACATCCGTCTTGTCTGCATTGAACCTCAACCAGTTGGTTCTTAACCACGTCCGAAACTCAGCCAGGCACTGGGAGAATCGAGCCACCACACCATCTGGATCAAAGGAAAGAGAGCTTCAGTAGTAATGAGACCAGAGATGATGACACCGCAAGCTCACCATGTCTCTAGTTCTCAACCTGTCTCTCCTTTTTTAAAAAGATGGCCAAGAATTAGGACAAGGATCCCATGACAATTTTAGGAAAACATTAATGGGCCTTGGGTCGGTCATGCCATTTGGAAAGGAATAAAAGCGACCCAATAAATAGGTCGCCTCATTCCATCCCTGATTCAAGAAGGTTCAAGTCAACTCCGCGTCATCTGGGCTAGCGGCCCCAGTAGACGGGCCAGTCTTAACTGCACAAGCTCTTCTGCAAAATTAAGACTTTTAGCGTTGGAGAAAGCTTTAGGGATAACTGGAGCCCAGAGAGGAGTAGGGACTCGCACAAGGTCACACAGCAACCGAGGACCAGAGATGGGCTTCCAGCCAGGGATCTTTTCACGAAAAGCTGCAAGAACAAGGCCATTTCAAGGAGGGGGAGGGCATCTGTCCCCAGAGATCTTCCCACCGGGCAGGAGAGCCTTATTCCAGTCTTTCTTCCCTCCCTCATCCCCTCCGAAAAAAGCCGCTTGCCCAGGACCCTGCTCACCACCGGGACTGCAGTGCGAGCAAAAGCCACCCAAGGGACGGCTGGGACCGAACCCGGCTCTACAGGGAAAAAGAGGCGGAGCCACAGGGGGAATGGTAGGCTTAGCCCCACCCCGACCGAATTCGGGAGCATACAGGATAAAGGGGCGGAAGCGAACTGCGCGAGACGAACTCACACCGCAGCGGATTCCCAGCGCGCCTCGGACGCCGGGGAAGATCCGCGGCACCGCCACCGCCAGAGCAAAAGACCGGGCTGGGAGGGGGTACCCGGCAGAGAGCAGCTGCGCATGCGCCTCGGGGGACGACGCACTCAGGGAGGGGAAGCGGGCCGGGCGCGTTCTCTCTCAGCCCCTCCCCGGAAGTTAAGAGTCTTCCGGGCGGTACTCTACTGTGGGGGAGGGGAAGGAGAGAAAGGGGACCGAGGACACTTTAGGAGCCCCTCATCCCAATCAGGACTAGGAGAGGAGAGATGGTTTATGGAGGCTGCACTTACAGCCGCTGCCGCTGCTGCCGCCGCCACCTTCACTGCTGCCGCCACCGCCTGAAGAAGCCCCATCCATCCGCCTGCAGCCGGGGAGACTCAGAACCTGGGAGGGGCCTGGGGCCCGGGCCGCCCGCCTCCTTTTTCTAGTCGTCGTCCGGAGCTTCCTCTTGCTCCACCAACCCTCTGTCCTCCCCTCCGCCTCCGCCCTCCTCCTCGATCTCTAGCCGCCAGCCAACCGCGCGGCCGCTTGTTGAGCCAGGGTTCCTCCGTCTCCATGACGCCCGGCAAACATTCCCGAGACTCAGCCAGAGCCGCTAACGCCGGGGGATAGGGTGCAGGGACTCCAGAAGCAGCCAGGGAAGGGGTGGCCCACCACTCCACAGCCTTTCGCCACCATGCCTATCTCTCCAGTAAACAGCCGCAAGCAGCAGAACCTCTGGTTGTAAGTTCCGGCCTTAAAACCTTAGTCCATCCTTCTGGGTCTCGGAGGGAGCCCTTTTAGATCCAGTCTCTTAGTGCGTCTGGGTTCAGTTCCCCTTCGAAGCTCTCATGCCGCAGTATCTCCTTCCGTGGCCTAGTACAGCCCTTTTGAACCCCCTACTGCTGTGCTTGCTCTGCAGGAAAAGACCTACTTTGTTTAGAACCGCTCCTCCTCCTAACGTTCCTGGGGTGGTTTTTCCGGTCTGCCGGGTCAAGCTTGTTCCCCCATTCAATCCTCAGCTTCAGTGAGCCAGAGGACTGAACTTTACTAATGCTGTGTCGTCCAAGTTCTTCTGCCTCCTCATGCTATCGTGCTTTTAAAACCCTTTCCTGCTAATGTTCTGCCATTTCTGCAACACTTGAACGAGAGGCTGGAGAAGAACACACAGCTCTGTGGGTTTGTTTCGCTTATAACTTCAAATGGTTCTTTAGTGCTGCCCAGCAATTGCACTAAAGTTTCCTGATTCATCCATTCTTCCACACTTCCAGACCACGTTTGTTCTCTCAGACGTTCAACATCTCTCCTTCAGTCTCCCCTAGTTCAGCTCATGTTTCTTTAGCAGCAATTGTGGAGAGCTCTTGGAGGAGAACCTTAACATTCTCTCCTGAATATGGTTCTCAGGGTCTTTTTTCCATTCTGTCACACCACCAAACTAGTTTTTGTGAAGATCAGCAATAGGCGTCCATCCAAATGAATGGCCATTTGAATCACTTCATTTGGTTTCTTGGATACCAAAGAACTAGGACTCCTCCCTAGTTCTCTCCTTGGTTTCTGGCTACTTCTTTTCCAAATTACTTGCTGGTACCTTTTCTTCTTTCCCACATATAAATTTTGGAGTGTTGCTGGAGTCAGTTTTTAAACACCTTTTTTTCCTCTATTGTCTTATGCCTTTAAAAATCACCTATATACAGGGGCACCTGGGTGGCTCAGTCGGTTAAGTGTAGTGTCCGACTTCAGCTCAGGTCATGATATTGCAGTTCATGAGTTCCAGCCCTGTGTCACGCTCTGTGCTGATAGTTCAGAACCTGGAGACTGCTTCAGGTTCTGTGTCTCCATCTCTCACGACCCCTCCCCTGCTTGCGCGTGCTCTCTCTCTCAAAAATACATAAACATTAAAAAATTTAAAAATAATCACCTATATACCAATGATTCATAAATTTATATTTATAACCAGCACCTCTTCCTAAAACCAGACTTTAAAAAACCAACATCTGCACTTAGAAGTAAATAGGCATCTCAAAATTTAAATGCAAAACTGAACTTATTTCCCCCTCTTACTTACTTTGCAGTCTTTGCCATTTCAGTAAATGACAGTTCCCACTCTTCCACTCACTCAGTAAACAACCTTGGAGTTTCCCTTGACTTCTCTAATGCCCCACTCCATCAGCAGATTCTATCATTTCTACATGCAAAATAAATCAAGACTAACTCCCTGATATAAGTCCCTGTCACATTACAGTAATCACCTAAATGGTCTTCTAATACCCCAAACTTAGTAATCACTGTGGCTCTTCCTAAAACCCTCCAGTTTTTCCCATGTGAGTAAAAGCTCACGTCATTACAGAGCCACAGGGTCTCACCTTGGACTCTTACCTTTGGCTCATTGTTCCACGATATCAGGCACATTATTTTCCCATTTTAAGGCTTATGCATTTGCTGTTCTTTGGTATATTGTACCCCTAGATAGCCTCATGACTCACTTATTTCCTTCACATATCACCTTATCAAAAAATCCTCACCATCAGGGAAAGGAAGGGTAAAAAAATAGTTATGGAGAGGGAGGGAGGCAAACCATAAGAGACTCATAAATACTGAGAACAAACCAAGGGTTGATAGAGGTTGGGGGAGAGGGGAAAATGGGTGATGGGCATGGAGGAGGGCACTTGTTGGGATGAGCACGGAGTTTGATAGAGAAACCAACTTGACAATAAACTATATTTTTTAAAAAGTCCTTCTCAGGGTGCCTGAATGGCTCAGTCAGTTAAGCGTCTGACTTTTGAGTTTGGCTCAGGTCATGATCTCATGGTTCCTGGGTTTGAACCCCAAGAGGATTGATTCTCTCTCTCTCTCTCTCTCTGTCTCTCTCTCTGCCTCCCTCCCTTGCCCCTCCCCCACTCATGTGCACATTCTCTCTCTCTCTCAAAAAAAAAACCTCAAAACATTTTTTTAATATCCACCTTTCATAACATAATAATCTTTCTAGTTACCAGCACTTCCAGTTCCTCAACCTTGAGTAAACTTATCCACTTATCCCTACTTGGCATATGATATACTTTTTTATTAGTCTGTCTTCACCCAAATAGTGGTACTCCATGAGCCAGGCGTTTTTGTTTTGTTCACTCCTATTGCCTTGAATGAAGAAGGCATTCAATATTTGCTGACTCAACGAATGAAAAATGTATTTCAGTAATACTGGTTACTGTTCATCCTGTCTGGTTTTTGTTTTTACTTATAGATATAGGAATCCTAAAGTAAAATTGTGTTGAATTTATGTAAAATTTTTTTAAAAAGTCGTATAACTCTCATAGTAGCTGCGAGGATTAGAAAAATTCTCTTGGGAATTTCTTACATAATTACAAATTCATAGGAGATTACCTGTTAAGGAAGGAATCAGGTGGGAGATAGGAAGTAGTATAATCTTCACTTTTTGAGATAGCCATGTTACCCAGTTAAAGCAAAATTTCACAGACTTTAAAGTTTACAACCATTGGTTTAACCAATAACCAATGTTATTTCTCATCTTTCTCCTTTTAGGACTTAATCCTGATCATGGAAAGGATCTCATAAAACATGTATTTACCAATTTTCCATTTTCTCACTCCAGGTTTTCCTACATTAGATCTTTCCCATTAGCTTAGCAATATGAACAATCTCCCTTCTTGGTAAAAAAACAACCACTCTTTCTTCAATGCTTTTATCCCACTTCTCTTCCCAGTTCCTCTATTCTACTTTCTTACATGTTCATTCATTTCTTTTTTATTTTTTCTTAGAATTTTCATGCTATCTACTTTTTCTGTTAGAGTCCTTAGCATATATTTTTAAGTTTATTTATTTATTTGAGAGAGAGAGAGGGAGGGAGAGAATCCCAAGCAGTCTCCATGCTGCAGCATAGAGCCCAAGGTGGGGCTCAATCTCACAAACTGTGAGATCATGACCTAAGCCAAAATCAAGAATTGGACGTTTAACTGACTGAACCACCCAGGTGCCCCTAGAGTCCTTAGCATATTCATCATAATTATTTTAAATCCACATTCTTGACAATTCTGAAATCTCTGCCATTTCTTAGTCTGGCTGTGATGCTTGCTTTGTTTCTTCATACTGTTCTTTGCCCTTGGATGTGCTTTGTAATTTTTTGTTGAAAGCTCAGTGTTGCATCACATAATATGAACTGAGGTAAATAAGCCTTTAATGTGAGGTTTTGTATTTATCTGACTAGGAATTGGGCTGTGCAGTAGGTTTATGAGACTTCAGTTTCCTCTGGTATCCTTGTTTTTGTCTCCTGTTTTTTAGGTTTCCCTAGAGACTCCTTTATAGAGTCTGAGCCTTGCATTTCTTCCCATTCCAGACCCGTTATTGTACAGGAGACCTGTTGGTGTGGTGATAAGATGTTGGAAGGAGAGGAAGTGTTCTATAATCCTGTGATTAGTCTTAGTCTTTTAGTGGGCCTTCGTCCCTTCGCTGTGACCTTCATAAGTGTTTCTCAGATTTTTTTTTCCTTATATGGAAAAAGAAGAGGGTCTTGGAGTTGTGTATTTCCCTTCCCCCACATTGGCTAGGTTCTGGTAAAATAGTTTTCTTTGAAAGCAAGCCTTTGTTAAGGAAAACTGAACATTCTGGGTATATTTTAGAATACTTAATACCCTAGCTCCCTGCTGGAATTATTAGGTAGTTTTTCTCTCTCCTCATCCCAAGAGCCTGATGGGTCTCATGGTGGGCCTCTGTGTGAGGCTGGGCCCTCAGGAATTTTTACCTTTCAAATTAGTATACCCTTAGTCTCCAGCAATTATCCTTTAAGTTTTCCTGCCATTTGCTGGCCCCAGTTGCAAAGTTTCTAACTCAGTAAGTTGTGATTCTCTGTTTTCTCCTGCCCAACTTTCAGGCCAGTGGTTTGCCTATGAACTGAATGATGGATCTAAAAGACCTGTTGATTTAAAATAACAAGATTGTTGTTATAAAAACAAGATTGATGACTTTTGTGGTCTCTACATGTTGGACCAGAAACGTCTATGTTCACTTTTCAATGCTTGCAATCTGTTGTCTCCATTCTGTACAGAAACTATTCAAAGGTCAATAATGAGTTACCAAAAGTTTTCAAAAGTCACCAAATTTAATGCGCTTTCTGAACTTGTACCTTTCTGCAGCATTTGACAATATTGATCTTCTCCTGATCAATATTGATCTTATCCCTGAACTTTATTGGTTCAAATACCTCGTTTCTGATTTCTTTCACTATCTCCGGTTTCTCCCCTTAACTCTATTACCTTCTTTTTATGCCTTTAGATTTTTATTTTGGGATTCCGTTCATTTATTATCATCATCTCCATGCAAAGATTCCCAAATCTGCATCTCCAGCTTTCACTTCTGTTCCTTAAAATTCACTTTACTCTTGCATTTTTAACTGATACCAGACAGCTCCATCAAGATATCACTGATATCTCATATGAATATATCTACAATTTAACTTCTTATTGTGTTTTAGAAGTGAAGATTAGTTTAATCATCACCTTAACTCTATGAGATAGGTACTATCATTAACCTTAATTTACAAATAAAGAAACAAACAGATTAATAGCCCGTGAATTATTGGATGAGCTTGAGCATTTAAATTGACCTTTGAGTTTTAGTTTTCATACTTGTAAAACATGACTATTAAATATCTTGCAAGTTATTTTAAGAATTGGAGAATATAGATGGAAGTTCTTTGAAATTTAAAATTTAAGCGGTATTGTTATTATCTGTTA